GACGGTCGTATGATATATGGGGTGAGTGAACGAACAACAGGGATGGTGCTCCGGCGCCTTGAAAATCAAGGGTCGTATGATATATTGATGAATGAATTTTCCTTACAGTCTAACACTACTCCTAGGAAAGCAAGTAAAGATATTGAAAGTGCATTATAGGAAAAAATAAGTTGCTCCGTAGGAGGCTTTGGTTTGGTGTTTGAACCCCTTGAATGTAGCTTGAGCCTTGTATTTATAGGAAGAGTTCTTGGAGGAGTAATCGAGGCTTAAAATCTACATGGTGGAACTTGATTAGAGCAAGTGGGTAGTCCAATCAACATTTGGGATCGTGAAGCATGGTGTTGTGACCCCATAAATCCCAGTGAATCTCGGCCGCCGCTCTTGATCGTGGGTTCTGAGCTTCTGGCCGTGGAGACGCATTTATGGCCTTGATAGCTGGTGACCTATTCTCTCAAGCTGCAAGGATTCTTGTGAGAATGTCTATGTCTAATCACTCTGTCTTCTGTCGCCAAAACTTGACTTCAGTCACTTCCCACCTTCCCTCGTGCATTAAATGCTTATTCGTTGCCAGTGGGTTTGCTGCATTAAATAGGCACTACTTCATTCAATGAAGCATGGGTCCCTGCTATCACGTGATGATCTGACTTTAATTTTTCTGGCCGCGATTTTGCTCGGCCTCGGCCTCGGCCCGCAATCGAGGCCGAGATGAACATGCCTTAGCGTTTTTCTTTTGTCTTCAGGAAGGCAAAACACCCTATTGAAACGCTGCGTTTCAGCTTCTCAAGAAAGTGCTAGGGTCGAGAAAAAGGGCTCCTTCGGCCAGTTCATGGCCGTGATTTATTAGGCACAAACATTGCCCCCACATCCCTGGATTCTTCGGTCTCGGCGTGGGTAGGGGCCGAATGGATTCCAAGGGATGGACCCTTAGCATTCCTTCTGGAGTGATTGACAACTGGGGTATTAAATGCGCAGGCCAGTCGGCGCATTTAATGCCTCAAACATGTCGTGCAGGTCATCATTGCCTAGGGCATCGTTTCGCCTCGTCAAGTGAAACGACGGTCTCTGGGCTTTTGACACGTCATTGCGCCTGTTGAGTGTGCTAACAGAACGTTACGTCTCTCGAGAGAGACACGCCCTTTTTTTTCGAATTCTAGCGCCAATATAAAAACCCAGACTTCCTCGCTTTCTCCTTACGCTTTCAGAATTCTCAGACGCCCAAGCTTTGTCAAAAACCCTTCTCTCAAACCTTCAAACCCACCAAACTCTCGAACCTCTAAGTTTACCAGAGAATCCTTCCTGAGCTCGCGACTTTCCAGAACCTACAAACCCTCTCCCTTTTTCAGGACTTTCTTCCAGTGTTATTCACGTTCATCATCTTTTTTTTCGCATTTCCCCCTTAAACACTCATCTCAAACCTGCTCTAATGGCCTCCAGTACCTCCACATCCGTCGAAGTTCGGTCCCAAGCCTTCCATACTGAATTCGAGGCTATTTGCCGAGACATCCAGGATTCGGTCCCTAAACCCTACTGATTCCTGCGTTCTCGGCCCCTCCATTGATGGCGGAATGCCAGAGAGGCTTGTGGCCCATTTGAAGAACAATCTAATGGATCTCTCGGCCTTTGACGGGGGGGACTTCCAGGATTGGAACGTTATCAGGCCGCAACAACAATGGCCCACTGTGACTCCCGATTGGGAGAAATGGCTGCCGAGGATAGAACACTTCTTCGGTCAGCAATGGAAAGATTAAGGCATCTACCACTTAATCAAGTTGTTCGATCGGCCGCTCGTCATGGATCGGTCGCTCTTGGCCGCGGCCTTGTGCTTTTGGTCATCGGCCACCAATACTATGAACTTTCGGTTCGGCATGATGACGCCGACCGTTCTACACATGGCCGCCTTGTTCGGCCTGTCCCCTCTCGGCATGGAAGTAAACGCCGCCCTCGTTGCTCCCGAGGTGGAAAGGAGCTTTAAAACCATGTGGCCCGCTCTCACGAGACTTGCTGGGAACAAGGTGAAGAATATGCTCAACTACTCCAGCTTCTACAGTAATTTTGGAGTGGAGGACAGCGCCGAAGACGACGTCATCGCCCGCTCAGCGAAGTTGAGCATGCTGCCTTCTTGCTGTACTGGTTGTGCAAGTGTGTATTCTGCACCCAGGCGAACAAGGTTACCCTGGAGTTCGCCCACCTGGCTGATTACCTAGCGCAGGGCGGTAGGTTAGCACTTGGCCCATTTTTGCTCGGCCATATCTACCGCACGCTTCACGACATCATCACCGATGGAATGAAGCCGAAGCACGGTGGTCCGCTGTGGGCTTTCCAGTTCTGGCTGTAAGCCTACTTCCCAGAGCTGAGGGCGGTGGCCGATATCAACGATGCCGAGCCGCTGGCCAATGCATTTGCTCGAGCCCCCAAGAAGCATAACACCTCGTCCCTCTGTTACAAATTTTTTTATGGCCTGGCTAAGAGGACTGGTACACAGTTCCGAGTCTGCCTTGCTCGGCCGTTCCCCCTGTTCCTAACTCACGACCTCTCCGTCATTCCTGATGTTGAGACGGAGAACGATCTGAAGGAGATCTGGGGCTCCTTCCTGGTTTCGCGCAACCTTCACTGCGGCTTGTCCAAGGCCGGGGCCGAGGTTTATCTGCCAAACTTCGTGGCGCAACAGTTCGGCCTAATCCAGACGGGCCCACTCCCTCCTCTGTCAACCAACCGGCTCTCGTCTTGGAGGGCCGATGTCTCTCAGCAGGACGGCGTGGCTGGCATAACCTTCCAGCTTCAACAGGGGATGACCTTGCTGACTCTGACGCCCTGGTCGCGTCGTAATGCGTATGACGAAGATGGAAGGGTCTGGTACGAGGAGTGCATCTCGGCCAGATTTATCCGGCCTGTTGAAGAGGCCGCAAGAGTGGCTTTAAAGAATGCAGACTGGGACCCTCTCGCCCCCAAGGGCAGCAAAGTAAAGAAGGTATCAGCCGGGCCTCCTCGACCGGGTACCCCGGCCGTGGCCGTTCCTAGGGTGACGGCCCCTTCCCTAGCTGGAACAGCGGCCGTGGCTTCCACTGCGGCCCCATCCTTAACTGCAGCCCCCGCTCACAAGGTGACGCCTGTGGTGGGGGCGCGAAAGACGCTGGCGCACAGGACCGTGCCGTCCTCCCTGCCAGCTCGACCAACCACTGTCGCTGGTAAGCCTCGCCTATTCTCTCTATTTATCATTTATTCTGCACCGGCCTCTCTAAACCACTTTTGTCCCTGGTCATCTTACTTTTGTTTCTTCTCTTTGTATACGCAGCCTCGAGTCGCAAGAGGAGCCGAGAGGCGCTAGGTACTGAGGTCGCAACGGTTGAGGCCGCACCGGCCCAGAGTGCCGTGGCTGAGACGGCGACCCTGCAGCGGCTGAGGAAGAGGACCCTTTTTACTTTCTCGGAGGGCAGAGGTGAGGAGGAAGCTCCTCCCGTGATTGTGAGTGAGGCCCCCCCTGCGATCCTAAGTATTCCTCCTTGGCATCCTTTTTCCTCTTTTGTGCATTCTGGTAATCTAGTTCTTTCCTCAGAACATGGCAATAGTCGAGGAGGAGGCTACGACCGAGGTGCCGTATGTAGAGGAAGCGGCCGCTGCCCATATGGTGGTCAAGGAGGTGGGAGCCGCAGAGGCGGCGGTTGAAGAGGCGGTTACTGCCGAGGAAGTGGTTGAGGTACTAGATGCTGAGATCGCGTCCGAAGTGCCGCCTGCCGAGGAAAATGCCGAAGAGGCGATCGAAGAGATCGCCGAGGAAGCCACTGAGGAGACTGCCGAAGAGGCCGCCGACGAGGGCGGCGAGGAGGCCATTGAAGAGGCCACTGCGGACGTGCCTGTTGAGCCATTGCCGTCCGCCCCTCGTCGCCCAAGCGGCATCGCCTTCCGCTCGATAAGAGTCTGCTTTCCCTATACTTGGCTTTATCGTTCTCTCTTTAGAACGGCACTATACTTCTGACCCAATTTTTGTCTCTAACCTCCCCAATCGTCGCCGCCGCTGGCCATGGTTGCCGCAACCATGCCCCCTGCACCGTTGTTTTAGGACTCGACGGTTGTGACCGAGCCGGTAGTAACTGGGGGCGCGGTCGTGAGTGTGCCGAGTCTCCTGCGGACTACTTCGGCGGTTATGACTGAGCTTTCGCTTGCCGCGAGTATTC